CGGAAATCTACCCCCTGTGCTACACTACGTATCAGCCAATATTCATTGTTGTAGTTGATTTTAGTTAGTGGTTTATAAAAATAATCAATGGCTCTTCGTTTAATAATTACCCTCTAATATCTAGTATTAAGCATGTGATATGTCGTTGTCTTGTTTAATGTCATCTATCTTCCCAATTAATTAAGCTGTAACTGATTTAGGTGTCATTTTTAAGCTTAAGATTCAGTGCAACGCAAATGGTAATTAAAAAGGATATTTTGATAAAGGGCTCCAAAAGTTTAACCCATAAGCATTTGATTTATTTTCAGACAGTGATTTAAATGGTTAACCAATTTTCACATACACTCATAGCTAACGGCACATGTACGAGCGCAGATCGTGAAATTTAAAACATATCACTGAAGGAGGTTATTTTCTGATTACTATTGGTAAAAATGCAATGAAATGTTGAAAAAAAGCCTGCCACAGGTTGATTAATGAATTAATAATTTGTTCACTATCAATTACCTCCTAGTAATACGAAATAGCATAATCTCTATGTCGTAGACACTATCCGGAGTTTTACATTGGCTAAAAAGTCTAGTTGTTTACGCAAATAATTAATCCTAAAAAATAAAACATAAACATATTTTATGATTGGTTCTGGTTGTCAATGCTGGTTGTGAAATAACGGAGAATAATGTAAAAGAATAAAATTGGATATTTCGGGATAGGGAAGGTATTTTTACCTCATGGTTCTTTTGGTTTTACGAATTTATTTGAATGAAATTAGAGTTTAGTATGAAAATTGCTTAAAATTATATATTTTTTGGTCATTTTTACGTTTCATACATTAAAGAAGCCAAAACAAGTCTTTATCTCAATTTCTGTCTTGTCTGTCAAGGCCCAGAAGGCATTTTACGTGGCCTTCTTCTCAAAAACTAAAGCATCGATCGTGATTCGATTGAAATAGTCTTTTTGGATTCGGTGGATTGACACGAGTAACTTAAGCCATTAAAATATGGCCTCACTACTTTTGATTTAAATTAATTTGTTTCAAACCCCCAATTTTTTGCATTTTTGTCAAGTTTAGGCTACTCCTAATGTTTACCAGTAATTAATGAAATACTAATAATTTGTTTGGAGAATACGACCTCAATGAAATAACGAACAGCTGTGAAAGATGAAAAGCTGGATATAGTATACTTCGTACCTAGGGCCGAAAAAGAGGTTTTGCCAGCTCGAGATAGTTTTTACCTCGTAAAATAAATCGTAAGTGCATAATATGTAACTAGTGTACATGTTGCTCGAATTCGAGCAATTGCAAAGTATTAAAGGAGTTATTTCAAAATAAATAACAATGAATATTTACAATGAGTTTAAATGAGTAAACTCAAAGATTACCGGTGTGTAACTTAAACCATGTTTATCTTCGTTATTGATAAACCTAAAGCATTCATCCGGCCGGTTTTCTCCTTCTCAAAATACCGCTGTACAGGCAACACAGGTTACTGATAGAGAGCCAATTGAGAACGAAAAGTCGTTTTGGGGTAGTGTTCCATCTCTTTTTTACAGTTGCACGCGATCTATTCTGGTTTTCAACCTGACTTAAAAATGGAACTGATTAGTAATCTGCTCACATTTCACCTTTATAACTGTTACTGTATAGTGTGAAAGTTGGTCAACCATTGGAAGCACCTTCTAGGAATAAATCAAAGGCTTAGGGGTCAACCTTTTGAAGCCCTAATCAAAATATCCTTTTTAATTACCATTTTGCTCTGAGCAAGATCTTAAGCTTTAAAATGGCACCTCAATCGTAACAATCGGCGAAGTAGGTCGGGTGAAAAAAGGACTGTTACAGCTTATTGAATTAGGAATATAGATAATGTTAAACAAGACAATGACATATCGCATGCTTAATACTGGATATTACAAGACAATGCTTAACCGAAGAGCCGTTGATTTTCCGGGGGTAGATGTCCGGGGGTAGATGTCCGGGGGTAGATGTCTGGGGGTAGATGTCCGGGGGTAGATATCTGGGGGTAGATGTCCGGGTTTAGATTTCCGGGGGTAGATATCCGGGGGTAGATGTCCGGGGGTAGATATCCGGGGGTAAATGTCTGGAGGTAGATATCCGGGGGTAAATGTCCGGGGGTGGATTTCTGGGGGTAGATGTCCGGGGGTAGATTTCCGTGCTATGGAAAATCACTTTATAATCAAACAATTACATGTTGATTATTTAATAATATTTTGGGGGTAAATTTCCAGTCGCGGGCTGTTTCTCGACCGTGTATAGGCCCCACCCCTCGTGACGTCAAAATGACGTAGGCGTTTTTTCATGGGGGTAAATATCCGGGGGTAGAAATCCGCTACCCCCCTTGTACATGCCATGACAATGGAAAATAACAATTGTCTATATTTATGACACCAGTTGCTAATTTTTTTACCAAGCAGCTGCGATACAAATATTAGAACTTTCAAAAGGAGTGAAATTTACAATCCATCCAACCGTTATTTTGTAATGTGTTTAAAAAAATTCCAAATGAAATGGCCTTTACATTAGCTCACTCACTCCAACCTGGAGGCGAGTGAGCGTAGCAAAAGAGCTAAACCTGAAGGTGAGTGAGCGAAGTGAACGAGCTCCAACGAAAAGGTGAGTGAGTGTAGCGAACGAACTTCATCCAGGACGTGATTAAGTGATGCGAACGAGCTCATCTTGAAAATGAACGAGCATTTGACATAAATTCACATCAGGACAGGTCTGTCGGGCCAGCTAGTTTAATTATAAAATGGCAATACAATATACTCTTATTTTATCTTAGGCTTTTTTGAATTTGATAAAATTTATTATTTGTGTTTTGCTACACCACTGACTGAATTAAACCAAATTAGTCCACATCGGGCATACAATACTTTGTGCCATAATGTAAATTATGTTTTTGACTGGCCTCTAACACAAGTTGTTGTGAGCTTTCAGAAAGTTTTTTTTAAGAATTTAACTACTATCGAGCAATTTTAAGTTTGTCAAACCTAGGTAACCCAAAAGGAACAGTGACTTATAGAAACAATCATAGGTACTCAATAAATAAATAGGATTACAGTACTAATTTTTAATTTTATTTAAAGAAGTCTCAAGTTTAAGTCTTTTTGCTCTTGCTCTTATTCATTAATTAAATCAAATTGCTGTTCTAAGCCTAATTAGTAGAAAAGGGGAAACTTTGACATAAGTAATAAATCCTATGCCTAAAAATCCCTAATCTATAAATAATTTTCAATTTGCCTGTCAATTTTGCAAAATTTGCCAAAAATCTACATGGAGCCCTATGAGGTGCTTTTAAGTGCAAAATCGCAGGACAGTGCAATGACATTAATAATTTTAACAATCCATTGCATACAAAGTACAAGAGCGTACTGAGTGTGGGAACGCTCTGATACTTAGATGGCAGTTGTTACTTTATGGACCGCTTTCCCCTCCTAAATAATTATTTATTTGTATTTCTCTACAGAATATGAGAGTCTTGAAAAGTTTGCCATTAAATAATAGTAAAACATTACTCATGTTTTATTTGTACCAGTTCCTGCTTTTGTGGAGCTAAGCATACATTTCCTATGAAATAAAAATTAGGTGAATGGTGTGTGGTTAAGAAGAGGGATTATCACTAGGTAGGTAGATTACAGTTCAAGCAGGAAACCTAAATGAAATCACACACTGAAGCAGTTAACACCTTTTAATTTTCACTAGTTGTATACAAATTTACAAACATACTTAAATTAATAAATCAGTTTGATTATGTGAGATATGTAATTAATATTGTAGATTTATCCTAGCCTAATTCAATATTTTACTTTGACTCAATACATTAATCTTTCTTCAATCTTATTTTCAATAAAAAATATATTAAAATACATTTGATAAATCTACACTAGATAACATTTTTTTTGTTGAGATGAAATATTTTTAAGAACTGCTGAAGTAACCAGTCTAGGTACTACAAGAGTGGACAATTTAAGTAGGCCTACCCTTTTTTTGAAACTCATTTTCTTTTAAACTATGAACTAATAATAACATAACATAATAATAGTAACATTTTATTACGCAAAAAGAAAAAACTTCATTGAAAGTACCAATTCCAAAGTTACCTACATTACGAATACAACTGAAAACACACAAACAAGATATTCCGATTAGACCAATTGTAAATTTCCGTCAAGCACCTACATACAATCTATGAAAGTGTTTACATAACAAAATAAAACAGAATATAAATATGAATAATGATATAAATGTAGCCAATACACACGAATTTGACAAAATCAAAGATATATACTATAGTTTGGCCGTTTAGAAAACAACCTGTGCGCTAATGCTAACCAATGCTACAGGAGGTCGCTTTCTAAGCGGCCGAACTATACTAAGCAATCAAGAATGTGGTCTCATGCAAATAAAAAAAAAATTCTCTCAGTGGGATCTACCCATAGTGTGTACGAATGTATGTCTCTTCATATTGCTACTGGTTTGGAAGGATTTTCCACATATAGTACACTTATGAGGTCGCTCTCCGGTGTGTAGTAATGTATGAATCTTCATACTGCTCCTGGTTTGGAAGAATTTTCCACATATAGTACACTTATAAGGTCGCTCTCCAGTGTGTACTAGTGTGTGTTTCTTTAGATTGCCACTGGTTTGGAATAACATTCCGCATGTAGTACACTTATGAGGTCGCTCTCCGGTGTGTAGTACTGTATGAATCTTCATACTGCTCCTGGTTTGGAAGGATTTTCCACATATAGTACACTTATAAGGTCGCTCTCCAGTGTGTACTAGTGTGTGTTTCTTTAGATTGCCACTGGTTTGGAATAACATTCCGCATGTAGTACACTTATGAGGTCGCTCTCCGGTGTGTAGTACTGTATGAATCTTCATACTGTTCCCGGTTTGGAAGGATTTCCCACATGTAGTACACTTATAAAGTTTCTCCCCGGAGTGTACTAATGTGTGTCTCTTCATAATGCCACTGGTTTGGAAGGATTTTCCACATATAGTACCGTAGAATGGGGTGAATAGAAACAAAACTTCAATGAATGATTCAAATTTTTATAACTTTGTTATACATTGACTTTATATAAGGGAATTATTTCCCCCCATTATAACCATATGTAACGAGCCTTTTTCCTAGGGGGGGTATATTTTCGCTATTTGGCCGCGTACCGATTGTTGAGGTAAGCAAGCGGCGGCGGGGAACCTGGCTAGCGCCCTTTGACCCGGCTTATCAGTTCGGATAAGCTTGGGTATCCTAGGACTACCGGATAGCCGAGAAGGACATTCGAGTCGTGGATCCCGGACAGTGAGGATAGTGTGGTGTCTTGTGGAGACGACTGGGATACGTCAGGGGTGTACGTAGAGAGGAGTGTGCGTGACAGTGGTGTCGGAGTACGTTGGTGGTGTGATCGCGCCGAGTGTTGGTTTAAGTTGGGTACCGACCCACTATTGGTGAGTGGACGACGTTCCTTACATTTTGGTTTAAGAGTTGATAATATTATTATCTGATTTTATTGCAAGAGTTAGAGTTGTAACCGTGCTGGTCAAAGCCTGACGGTAGTTAGGATTTATGTTAGTCAGGAATAATATTAAAGTGTATTCCTGACGGTTCTGGGCAGGTGCTAGAGCGCAAATAATATAATTTATTGACTGTAGTAGTTATTATTTTGTGCTGTACCAAGAGTTAGTTATATTACTAATAACTCTGAGGCCCGACAAACCTAAGCTGCACGATTTAGCGTGCGTAGTTGGAAGCACGAGGCTAGTAGGCTAGTAGCTAATTTTATTAGCCTATTAACAGAAGCCCAGCTAAGCAATATAACGTTGATATAGTAGCAGTAGTGGTAGTAGCAGTAGGGTTGGTATTGATTAATCATTTAAGTATTTTAATTTATCCGGAACAGCTTGTTTGGTAGTCCAACACGTTATCTTGGTAGCTTGGATAGCGGAGTACCGACTATCAGATAATATATTTATCTAGTGTTTGGAACGTATTTAATATTTATTATCTGCTACTAAGTAGCTCAATAATTTGATAGTAGTGCAATTGCCATTTAGTTTTGCTTGTTTGGCTTGGTATTTATTGAGACCAGCTACTAGTGGTGTAGTCACCCTACCTATAGTGTACTTGTATATTATTATATGGTATTATTATTGAGTGAACTGTTTTGGTGGTTAGCTTGGGCATGAGCATTTTGTATTGGATTATAGTGGCCTAGTAGACCCCGCCTGGTGATAACTCGCGTTGTGGTTTTTATTAGCCAGTCGTCGTGTAACTTACTGTGTTTTAGGCACTCTGGGCTTAACTATTGGATAGTTAGGACGAAGCCCGAGTTGCGTAGTCAGCAACGACCCCCTAGGAGTGTGGAGAATCGGCGTAGGCCTGGTGGTGATTATTGCACGTTTGTTGTGGTGACTTGCTTTTGACTTGTTCACAGTGCCCGTGTATGAGCCAGTCCTATACCGGTTAGACCCGGCTATTGGCCTAGTGGTTTCCCTGACCTTTTATCGCAGACCCTGGAACTTTACCCAGCCATTGTAGGCTGAGCTATCCCCGGCAAACGGTTGCGACTGCACGCACTTTTAATAATTATTTTTCCAGTGCGGAAAGTAGCGTCGCACATATCCTATCTACCTGGGAAAAATTATTTCAGCATATTGGTATCACTGCTTTGGATGTTGGATCATGCGAAACATCATTTGAAAATTTTGGCGAAAAACATTCTTTTCAAAACTATCTCTCTAAGTATGAACCTATTACATGTATTTATGTTAATAGCCATTTTTTATATTGTCTTAGGGATCTTAAAACCAATTGTGCCAATAGATTAGCCTTAGAATAAACTATATTTTTTTACTTTATTTTTAATTTAGGTTATGTCATGATTTTGCAAAACCAGGGTAAATAGAAACACTTTTTTTTGGAACCAGTGGTGCAAATAATTAATAAAGGTTGACCAAAAAACCCCCCAAAAAAGAAAAAAAATACCAGAGATGAAGATGATTCCACATCAGTCACACTTCTCACTGGAAGAAAGTGACAAAGACGAACAATTTGATGAAGAAGAACCAGCATACCTAGCTCAAGACATCAGCAAGTCTTCAAAGTTGTCCCTTCATGATCAATTGTCAAAGTAATGGGGAAAAACAAAACTTGCTATCGTTTATATGTTGCTAAAGTTATTGAATTTAACAAGGAAGGAGAAATAGGAAGATTCATCAAGAAAATTGCGCAAACCAACAAGTTCTGAGAGACAGATTAAGAGGCCCTCTTCAAAGTCGATGACGTAGTACGTCGGCTTCCAACTCCCAAGCCGTGTACAACTTGTAGATTTAAGGGAGTGTTGTATTTTGAGGAAGATTTGTCTGATTTTACTCTTCATTTAGTTGGTTTCTATGTAAGATTTTGTTACTCTGATTTCACCCATTGTCATTTATGTTCTCTGATTTGTTTGGATAAGGGTTTATGAAAACAATGTTTTTATACTTCGTACTTATAAATAAATGTGTTAATTAACTTTAAATATTTTTATTTACAACAACATAAGCTAACAAGCATAAATTTCATGTTTCTATTGCCCCTGGTAAGTGGGGAAAAGCAACAATCATCAATTTAACACAGTGTTTCTATTCACCCCAAAGTGCGGGGTGAATAGAAACAGCCTTATTTTATTTTTTTTCTGCTTAATGATTAAAAAGAAAAAAAATTGATTAGTGATTTGAGTAGAGGAGTCCAAGACCGAAAATATGAGCTAGTGTTGAAAATTTAAAAATTAAAAATATCGTTTTTACAGAAGCTTAAAAGTCAAAAAGTGTTTCTATTCACCCCATTCTACGGTACACTTATGAGGTCGCTCTCCGGTGTGTAGTAATGTATGAATCTTCATACTGCTCCTGGTTTGGAAGGATTTTCCACATATAGTACACTTATAAGGTCGCTCTCCAGTGTGTACTAGTGTAGGCTATGCTTCTTTAGATTGCCACTGGTTTGGAATAACATTCCGCATGTAGTACACTTATGAGGTCGCTCTCCGGTGTGTAGTAATGTATGAATCTTCATACTGCTCCTGGTTTGGAAGGATTTTCCACATATAGTACACTTATAAGGTCGCTCTCCAGTGTGTACTAGTGTAGGCTATGCTTCTTTAGATTGCCACTGGTTTGGAATAACATTCCGCATGTAGTACACTTATGAGGTCGCTCTCCAGTGTGTAGTACTGTATGAATCTTCATACTGTTCCTGGTTTGGAAGGATTTCCCACATGTAGTACACTTATAAAGTTTCTCCCCGGAGTGTACGAATGTATGTCTCTTCATATTGCTCCTGCTTTGGAAGGATTTTCCACATATAGTACACTTATGAGGTCGCTCTCCGGTGTGTACTAGTGTATGTTCCTTCATACTGCCCTTGGTTATAAAGGATTTTCCACATATAGTACACTTATAAGGTCGCTCTCCAGTGTGTACTAGTGTATGTTCCTTCATACTGCCCTTGGTTATGAAGGATTTTCCACATATAGTACACTTATGAGATCGCTCTCCAGTGTGTACTAGTGTATGTTCCTTCATACTGCCCTTGGTTATGAAGGATTTTCCACATATAGTACACTTATGAGGTCGCTCTCCGGTGTGTACTAATGTATGACTCTTCATATTGCTCCTGCTTTGGAAGGATTTCCCACATATAGTACACTTATAAGGTCGCTCTCCAGTGTGTACTAGTGTATGTTCCTTCATACTGCCCTTGGTTATAAAGGATTTTCCACATATATTACACTTATAAGGTCGCTCTCCAGTGTGTACTAATTTATGTCTCTTCATACTGCCGTTGGTTGTGAAGGATTTCCAACATGTAGTACACTTATGAGGTCGCTCTCCAATGTGTACTAATGAATGTCTCTTCATACTGCTACTGGTTTGGAAAGATTTTCCACATGTAGTACAATTATGAGGTCGCTCTCCAGTGTGTACTAATGTATGTTCCTTCACACTGCTACTGTTTTGGAATGATTTTCCACATATAGTACACTTATGAGGTCGCTCTCCGGTGTGTACTAATGTATGTCTCTTTATAAGGCTTCTGGTTCCGAATACTTTTCCACATGTAGTGCATTTATAAGGATTCTTATTAGAATGAGTCAACAAATGATTCTTTACTTGAAATAGACGAATAAATGTTTTCCCACATGTCAAACATCTAAAGGGATGCTCACCGGTGTGTAAATATACATGAAACTTCATTGTCGATAGAGTTGAGATCATTTTTCTACATATTATACATTTAAGGAGAGGCTTTTTAGTGATCTTAAACATTTTTTTGTTTTCTATTTCTTACTCCTACTTATTTGATAAGCTAGAACTTAATTGGAATTAGTCAAAATTGCTTGGATCAACAATTAAATAAAATGCCTATTTTTGTAGATTTTTTTCAATGTTTAACAGTTATCAATCAAACATGATCAACGTTTGGTCAAAGATTGTTAACTTATGTGTATTAAATATCATACAACATAGCTTACTTAAGGCATTTTCCTTTTTTTGTCTTGACTTTAGGATAAAGTGGCTTTAATGTTTCATGTTGTTTTTAAATAATAAATATTGCATTAGCTTATAAATAAAAGTGATGTATAATTTAATTAACTTTTGTTTAACGTTTCTTTAATATTTGACAGATTAGGTTAATTATTATTCTTGCGACATGAATTGAAGTTCCTTTTCCTCTTCAAATCTATTGCCCCTTCTGAAAAAGACCAAATTTTATCAGTTTGTTGTATTATTTTTTTCATTTACTCAAACAATAATTTTGAAACTTACTAAAATCTTTACATTTACAAAAATCCTTCTAATAGTATAGGTGAGAAAGTTTGGATGTATGGATGGATTGATGTTTGTGACAGGTAAATGCAAAAAATACTGGTTGAATTGGGCTGAAATTTGATGTGATGATAGCTCACATTCCCGATTAACATATAGATGTCATATGATTAACATATGTTGGTTTGTACCCATTCTTATCTCAAAAATCCTTTCCGGCCCCACCCCAGTGACTCTTGAGTTTCCCATGTTAACCTTATGAATATTCATATTTAAAAGGAATAAAATAATGTTGTCAGCTGTTTCAACTACAGTTAAGTTGGTTCTATGATATTAAATAGCATTAAAAAGTTATAAGGGTTTTACCAACAGTGACGAAAGTTATTTTGAAAAGCTGTTTGTACAGAAAATCGTTTGATAAATAAAGGCATTTTTATTTATTATTTATTTATTTAACAGAGTGCAGCACTATTTAGTTGTTTACAATTATAAAAGCTGTAAAAATTGAGAATTTCACTTTTAGCAAATTTCCTATACAGGGAATAAGCTATTACCGTGTAGTACTCATGGTAAGACCTGGACCCAGGACCGATTTACTTTTTCTTTTTGAGGTCCCTAGTGGCTAAAAACACCAACCGTTCAAATTTATATATATATATATATATTTATTTATTTATTTATTTATATACTAGCTGTTGTACCCATGCTTAACAATGGGAAGAGGATATGAAATAGAAACCTTTTTGATCTTTACATTATATGTTGTAAGAGTACCCGTCCTTCGTACTGGGTTGGCGTATAAGTATAAAATGCTTATTGCAGTTATACTTGTGCTTTGCGTTTGCAATGGGAGAGGAGAAGGTTTAAGAAAATTTAAGGCAGTAAAAATCAGCTGTTGTAAACGGTTGTAAATTTTGATTGTGGCAATCTTATCGATCAAAATTATTTATCGATTGATTTATTAGGTAAGGTTATTGCCTATTGTTGTCGATTGCTCCACATATCGATAGTACTGTAACAAAATCGTAATGGACATTATTGAATTACTTAGTAAACAGCTGCTTAGTTCCATTAACAAAAATGAAAACAAGCTGTAACTTGTTTTGAGAGGTTATCTTTACATACAAATTATTTAGTTTTCAAGCTTTGTTTGTTAATTAATGATGCAAGTATGACGAAAAATATAGTTCACCACAAAGTAACTTTTTAACCCTCGCTCATTTTCAACCTCGGCTCGAGGTAAAACTTGACCTTGGTTAAAAAAGAGTCATTTTAGGTACTAGTGATAAAATTTACTACTAAGCAATCAAGAATGTGGTCTCATGCAAATAAAAAAAAATGTGCTCTCAGTGGGATCTACAACATTAAAATTCAAGACATTGTCATGTTTTACAATAATCTTTGTACACATTTAAGGAAATAAGCTGGTTGTACAATGATTTAAGTTTTACAAAATATAAACATTCTTTCAAAGCATATTTTTAATCCACAAGATTTTTCAAATGTAGCCTAACTATTAAATTTATCCTGGTTGTTGAGGACTTTTCATAGGTATAGAAGATTTCTCTCTAGTGTGTTCTTATGTAGGCCTAAGTTTCATCACACTGCTACAGGTTTGGCATGATTTTCTACCTATGCAGTCTACCTTTGGTGTGTACTAATGAATGTCTCTTCATACTGCCTCTAGTTGGGAAAGATTTTCGACATATAGTACACTTATAAGGTCACTCCCCGGTGTGTACTAATGAATGTCTCTTCATAATGCAACTGGTTGTGAAAGATTTTCCACATATAGTACACTTATGAGGTCTCTCTCCGGTGTGTACCAAGATATGTTTCTTCATATGGCCACTGGTTTGGAATAATTTTCCACATATGGAACACTTATAAGGTCTCTCTCCGGTGTGTACTAATGTATGATTCTTCAGATTGCCACTGGTTTGGAATAACTTTCCGCATATAGTACACTTATGAGGTCTCTCTCCTGTGTGTACTAATGTATGTTCTTTCATACTGCCTCTGGTTTTGAAGGATTTTCCACATATTGTACACTTATAAGTTAACTCTCCGGTGTGTACTAATGTATGATTCTTCAGATTGCCACTGGTTTGGAATAACTTTCCGCATATAGTACACTGGTGAGGTCTCTCTCCGGTGTGTACTAATGTATGTCTCTTCATACTGCTCCTGGTTTGGAAGGATTTCCCACATATAGTACACTTATGAGGTCGCTCTCCGGTGTGTACTAATGTATGTCTCTTCATACTGCTACTGGTGTGGAAGGATTTGCCACATATAGTACACTTATGAGGTCGCTCTCCGGTGTGTACTAATGTATGAACCTTCACAAGGCTTCTGGTTTGGAATGATTTTCCACATGTAGTGCATTTATAAGGATTCTTATTAGAATGAGTCAACAAATGATTCTTTACTTGAAATAGATGAATAAATGTTTTCCCACATGTCAAACATCTAAAGGGATGCTCACCGGTGTGTAAATATATATGACACTTGATTGTCGATAGGGTTGAAAACATTGTTCCACATATTATACATTTAAGGAGAGGCTTTTTAGTGATCTTAAACATTTTTTTGTTTTCTATTTCTGACTTCTACTTATTTGATAAAGCTAGAACTTAATTGGAATCAGACAAAATTGCTTAGTTCATCTATTAACTAAAATGTCTATTTTTGTAGAATTTGGTCAATGTTTAAAAGTTATCAATCAAACATGATCAAGGTTGCTCAAATATTGTTATGTGTATTACATATCGTACAACATCGCTTACGTAAGGCATTTATTTTTTTTTTGTCTGGACTTTAGGAAAAAGTGGCTTTAATGTTTCATATTGTTTTTTAATAATAAATATTGCATTAGCTATAAATAAAAGTTGTAAAATGTATAATTTAATTTAACATTTGTTTAACGTATCTTTAATATTTGACAGATTAGTTGAATTATCTTTCTTGAGACATGAATTGAAGTTCCTTTTTCTCTTCAAATCTATTGCCCCTTCTGAAAAAGACCAAATTTTATCAATGTTATACATTTGTTGCAATCATTTAGATAGTGTTTTTTTTTTCATTTAGTTAAACAATGATTTTAAGACATTACTAAAATTTATACATTAACAAAAATCCTCCTAATTATAAGTGAGCAAGTTTGGATGTATGGATAGAGGGATGTTTGTGACAAGTAAATGCTAAAAATATTGGTCAAATTGGGCTGAAATTTGATGTGATGATAGCTCACATTCCCGATTAACATATTAGTACAGGTAAAATAATACAAAAACGCTCCATATTAACAACAAAATTTGTACATTCATGAAATTTCACCTGTGAGTTACTAATAATATGAGAAATGAAGATCCGATGAGTCCCCATAATTTTGTGCGTCCTAAGGCCCTTTTTGGGGCCCTTTTTGTTCCAAAGGGCCATTGTTCCTGAATAATTTTGTTTTTACGTTTAAGGTCGAGTGAGGTGTGGTTTTCGATGGTATTAGTTATTTTAAATGGGACTAGTTTTAAGTGTATTAAACCACTCCATACAGGGTGTTTTGAAATATTATTACTTTTTACGATATTTAAACATTTATTCATAAAGTAATAAAATTAGTTACCTCCATGCTCTATATAAAAGGGGATTATTGAAAGTAATTGTAATTCTTTACTATATAAGAGGAAATGATCACAAGGAGTAAGAGAAGATATTAAATACCCCCGTCACAGCAAACCTGCATACTAAGCGAATATTCATTTGCCTATTTTTAATTAAATCTAAAATAGCATTGAGTTTAATGAATACTTAGGTTTGCTGCTACAAGAAGGCTAATAAAGTGTGTTTATAGTAAAATATTAATAGAGTAGTATAAAACAAATAAATTTGACAAGTTTTATCAAGACATATCTATAAACAAACAAACAAAATCATTTTACACTATTCTCCTTAAGAATAACATGGGAATTTAAAATGTTAGTATTTTTATGCGTAACCAATAACCATACAAAAACACGTTAATATACTAAATTATTTGTTTTTGAAGCTAGGCTATTTAAAATGTTCTAAAGGAAAATTTTGAAACTTTGTGTTTTGAGGATAAATTAAATGAGAAACCCCAATTTTTACCCCATAAACCTCGTTCCCATTGTTCAGGACAAAAATGCTTGTACCGACAATGATGCTCTGATGTCTTAGTGCTCTCCTGGTCGTCATAACCATCAAAGACAACCGTACTTGTATGGGTTTATTGATTGATAATGTTATTGATACTAGCTGCAAACGTCAGTATGTATGAAAGGTGTTTTTACACCACATCACATTGTTCGTGCTTCAAAATTGGTGTTGCCTGTTCTGCAATATGCAAGGTTTGTAAAGGGGAATCCTGCTTGAACACCAACTTGGACAAAATCAGTAAAGATGGACAAGTTGCTAAGAATAATAAAATTGTTAATGAGTCGTCTGAGAATAATTATTGTGATGATAAAATTTTAAAGAGAGATACTATGGATGGTACTATGGAGATACTATTGTAGAAAAATAGCTTTAGTTTAAGTACTTCATTGTAATATGTAATGTAAGGTTTTATGCAGATACAATTGTTTTAATTTTTAGTAAATGTAAAAAAATAACTTAAATAACTACCTAAGAAAAATACACATCAATAATTTGAAATTGGTCCTAATAGATTTGCATAAAAAGTACATTGAAAGATTATTCACACCACCTTAAAAGTTGAAATTTTTGCGTAGTAACCTATGTTATTATGTTATAGTGTACAATTTAATCCATCCAATTTTAGCGAACTTCCCATATAGGAAATAAGCTATTACCGAAGGTCTTATGGTAAAACATAGACCCGAAACCGATTTACGTTTTCATTTCGATGCCCCCAGAAGCCTAAAGTACCATCCACTCAAAATATTA